ACTGGGAAGGAAGATGCTATTGACAAGTATGTCAAGTGTGTTGAAGATACGTTTGGGAAGTGCAAACTGAACAAGCACACATACACAAACTGTGCCGTTCGGTATAACAAGACCGATGATGGGAGCGTCACTCTTGATCAGGACGAATACATCAAACAGCTTCGTCCTATCACACATCCAGAACTCACAGGAGCTGATCCTGAGAGCAAAGCGACAAAGACGATTTCTGATATGTTCGTCAGTCTTCGTGGCGCTCTAGCCTATGCGTTGATCACGCAGGTATGGCTGATGGTCTATGTTGTCTCACTACAACGTATCCAGGAACCGACAAACATCCAGGTACGACGACTAAACGCGGTTACCAGGAAACTACAGGCAGGTCCGAAGAAGATCGTGTATCAAGCTATGACTCCAACAGGAGAAGTTGACCTGCATAGCGATTCTGGCTATCGCCGTCTCAATGGAGATGAAGACGACGAAGTCAAAGGCTATGGTATCCGCGGGGCTAACCTGCTGAGGCGTGGCCACACGCAAGCGGGGAAACCCGTCGTGCACCTGGTGGACGCATACTGCAAGTCTCATCGACTGCAGGTGCGTTCGAGCTACTCTGCGGAAACACTGGCAGCAGCCCACAACTTGGAAGACTGCTACCCGACCATTGTAACGCTCCACGAGCTACACTCGGGACCATTGACCCCCACACAGTTAAAGAACATATTGGAAATGGGTGGTCTATGTATCAAAGTCACTCTGACTATTGATGCCGAGTCTGTCTTCAAGTCTTTGTCTAGCAAAGATCTGAAGAAGCCCACAGAATGTACTCTGCTTGGGCACATTAGCTGGATCCGCCAGATGATGGAGCGCGGAATCGTTGAAAGCGTTCAATGGTGTGACACGCGGGATATGACTGCCGATGGTCATACCAAAGGTAGTATTGACCGCGCGTTGCTCCTACAAGTAATGGCCGGCCAGCAATCCTTCAAGCACGAGCTGAAGAAACATGCACCGTATAGGGCGGGCAGGTCGTCTCAGGACGGCCCTGCCTCCCGAGCTAGCGGGGAAACCCGCGTGCAGGTGCGCTCTAGTAGCGAGGAAACTCGCCGGTAGCGAGGCTACTCGCGCGCCCTTGCCTTGTAGGCAGCCGCTGCTGCTTAGCACTGTTTTTCCGCGTAATGTAGAAGTGCGGTGCCTGCTCGTCTCCTCCCCCTCCGACTTTAAACGGAGAAGGTTAAAGGCGAGGTATAAATCGAGCATGTACCGCTGCCGTGCCTGGCTCAAGCCGGGCCCGGCCAAATATATGACTGTGCCTCACCGAGGCGCACGACTGGTATCTGAGATCGGAAAATACCTTTTCCATTGAAGATGCCTCTTCTATCCTTTACTCCAGATCCCATGCTTCGTCTCGCTCTCTTGCTCATGCGATATGAGCCAAAGCCTGGGATATGGCAACGCTTGAAGCGTAACACATACCTAAGCTTACCAGCATGTTTTCGACTTCTTGAGCGTCTTGGAGCGATCTTTCGGCGACTCGGGGCCTCTTGGGCAGTGTAGGGGGCGTTCGGCGCCCTCTTGGCGCGCTCCTGGAGCGCCCCTGGGGAGTCGGCCAGGCATCGGCCGGGCATCGCCCGTGGTACTTTTCGTCCGGGGGTCCCCAGGGGCCGCCACGCGCGCGCGAACTAGAAATATCGTTAACCTGTTATCGGAGATCTTAGCACGCCTCTGGCCCGTTGGGCCGGTGAGTTGAGAAGCATTAGTGGAGTCGGAGGCGGAGGAGTAGGATGATGAGGAGGACGAGGCAGGAGGAGGGTCATGGGAACCGAGGAGCCTGTGACGCTCCTCGACATCGACGTGTGCAATGCTACGGGGGGCCTGGCCGATTGGCGAGGCGGCCCAAATAGGCGTCGGCAGCAAGTCCCACCCCCCAAGGTCAGCCACGTCTCTCCGGGCCAGGCAGGTCATAGACATCGGGCCAACCGCGGCCAGGCGAGCGGCTCGGAGCAGGCGGATAGAGGTGCTGGAAGTAGCCTTCAGAAGACACTTCATCGGCGACGCCATCAAACCTGACGTCCCACATGACACCAACTACGGCCGCACCGCCAAGTGCATCGTCAGAGAGGTCCCCAAGGTTTTACCAGAGCGCCATGGAATACAGCTGCCGCCTGCCAGGCCACCGCGAAACTGGGCCAGGACCCATCGCAACGCCAACGACGCTTACGGCGATGATGGGGTTTTCCGCCTGCCTCCCAACCTCCCGACGTGCGCCTTCTACGTGTACCCACACCACTCCTTACCCCATTGCCCCCACGACAGACCCCACGCCCGCCCAGCCACGCTCCGAGTGGCCGCATGCCCTGAGGGGGAGCCCGCGGGGGGGCATACCCGTGGAAACGGCCATAGGGCTGCTGGCCATGCCAAAGCTGGCGCCGCCTGCCCCGCGGCGGGCTCGGCATCCCGAGTGGCCGCATGCCTGGAGAGGGAGCAGGCGGGGGGCATGCTTTGGAAAGCGGCCATGGGGACAGCCGAAACCACTCCCCAGAACCCCCCACCCGACCCACCACTGGGTGGCCTTTGCGGACCGCCGCTCGGCCCTTGGCAAGGCTGTCAATCGGCGGGTGCCGCGGGCCCAGCGCGGCGTCCGCGGGCGGCGCCGCCTTGCGTGCGGCCGCTCGAGGCGTCCCCTGCCTCGGGCAGTGTGGAAGGCGGTGGCCGCGGACCTATGCCTGCGGGGGCACGGGCTGATGGCCGTGGCGATGCCGCTGGGCGTTGGGGCCTACCTCAGGCCGCGCGAGCCGATGGGGGTGCAGCCCGAGGACCTAGACCCCCTGCGCGAGACGCGTCGGGGCACTGGTCTCTGATCATCTGACTGCAGACGAGAGGGGTGACCGCCGAGACAGGGGCGATGGGCGACAGCGTGATCCTGGCTTGCAAGTGGCAGCACTGGATGACGGCACTCTGGATGGCCCTGGCGGGGGCTCGTCGTGGAAGGCCAGGCTGGACGTTCACGCGCCCTGAGCTGGTGAAGCAGTTCCACGAGACCTGCAGCCGGCGTAACATCCCCGCGGTGCCGTGCGTGATGGGACGCAGCGGGCCCAGCATCGACAGGGCCCAGCAGTTTCGGCCCCTCGACGAGGTGCGGAAGAGAGGGCGCCGGGCGAGCCACGAGTCGGTCGCCAGGTGCGAGAGGGCGGCGAGGCCCAGCAGTGCGTGGCGCGACCTGCCGCTGGCGGCCCAGGGAACTGGTGCGAGGCGCCCGACGCGCGCCTCGAGGAAAACTGCTGCCGCGGGGCGCAGGCCGCGCGGCGGGCGGCGCGGGGCGCCTCCGAGGAGCCAGCGCCTCGGCGACCTCTTCTCGGGCGAGGGCGGGGTCGCGCGCGCCTGCCGGCGCCTGGGCGCCCCCGCGCGGTCCCGGGAGGTCCGCGGGTCGCCCCGCGGGCGACCTCGCCCGGCAGCCTGTGCTTCAGTGTGTCCGCCAGGGTGTCGGGGCAGGCAGGCTCCTGGGCGCCATGTTTGCGCCTCCGTGCCGAACCTTCGCGGTGGCCAGAGACCGCGCTGCCGTCGGTGCAGTAGTGAGTGATCTCTGCCAGGTCGGAACTCCCTGGAGGGGGCGAACCCGTTTCGTCTGCGGGGGAGTCCCAGCGCCAGACCTAGTGGCCTTCAGCCGTAGGTGCACTGGCAAACATGGTCTCTGCAGCGTCACAGGTCTTCGGCACTGCCAGCTAGAAGGGTCAACACTGACACGGGAAACCCAGCCTTCCAACGGCAATTGTGCAGGATGTTTGCTCACACTCTGTTACATAGAGTACGGGGCGCACATGTCAATTATTCCTACCTTGCTCTCACGACCCTTCATCCCTCGATTCCGCTTGCCCCGATCAATCCTTGCTAATTCGAGAACTTCCATTTTCGGGCTTCTTCGGGACTTTTTATTGCTTGGTCCAGGGGTGCTGGCCCATCTTCCCATTGGCGGCCGGGTCGCTGCGACCAGGGCGCGCGTGGTTTCTACGAGACGTATCTTATCCGTTGAAAAACGAGGTCCCCTAGATAGAGGGGCGCGTGCACATAGCTATCTTTTGGGGACTCGTGAGTATCGACGTGCTTTACAGAGGGTTTCGTCCGCAACCGTCCTCTCTCAAGTCTGCTTCTTCGGCCCCCCCATTCCACTACCAGGACTTTTGATTGCTTGGTCCAGGGGTGTTGGCCCATAATCCCATTGGCGGCTGGGTCGCTGCCGCCAAGACGCGCGTGCTTTCTACGAGACGTATCTTATCCGATGAAGAACGAGGCCCCTTAAATATAACTTTATTTGTTCTGCCGGATGTGCCCATGGATCGTATATATTTTAGATGAACAAAATTTGTGTTACATGACGCATGTTGTATTACTAACGGAATCCCTCATCACAAAACAGTACATGTGTCTTCGTATGGTTATTGTTTTCCCAACCAACCTGTTGCTGTGTCCCCGTTTTGAAAGAGACAACGCCCCGCGTCTCCTCTCCTCCTTTCCTTTCCTTTCCTCTCTTATCCTCTCCTCTCCTCTCCTCTCCTCTCCTCGCCTCTCCTCTCTCTCCTCTCCTCTCCTCCTCTCCTCTCTCCTCTCTCCCCTCTCCTCTCTCTCTCCTCTCTCCTCTCTCCTCTCTCTCTCCTCCTCTCTCCTCTCTCCTCTCTCCTCTCTCCTCTCTCCTCTCCTCTCCTCTCCTCTCCTCTCCTCTCCTCTCCTCTCCTGTCCTCCTTCCTCCTCCCATCCCTGCCTCTGTCCTCCGCATCCCATTCCGGCACACCCCTCACACGTTTCGTGGCCCCATGGTGAGCTCTACCGAAGGCCCCAGTGGCGGTGTTCGAATGCGTTTCCCCCGCCCAGTACAGCGTTTCGTGGCCCCATTAGGAGCTCCACCGAAGGCCCCAGTGGCAGTGTTCGCCGCATGCGTCCCTCTTGTCCTCCCTCCTGTTCTTGCTCCATCTCACCTCCTCTTCCCTCCTTTCTTTGCTCCTCCACGCTAGGCCAGCAACGTGGACGACTCCTTCTTCGAGGAGTGGGGCCAAGAGGCGGCTCCCGCCCAGGACAACAGGGTGCGGCCACCGCAGCCGATGGGAGGACTGCCTCCCTCCTTCGTTTTCCCAGCCCTCCCTTCGATCGGGCATCGTTTTGAACACAGCACCTGCCACTACCTTCTCGTCCCTCCTCTCCCGTCTCCTTTCCTTCCTTCCTCGTCCCCCTCCGTGTCTCACGTTTCTCTCGTCGCCTCTTCTTTCACTCTCGCTTCCTCTCGGGCTCAGGAACAGCCGCTTTCCCGCGCATCGGGGCGTCCGGCGAATTGCCGACTGACGCCGACCCGATGAGACGTCGCGCTTTCTACGTGCTGCAAGGCGCACGCGACACCCAGCTTTTCTGCGCCACAAGGGTTCAGCGGAGCTGCGCCCTACGTAGATCCAAGGCAGACCTTGCCTCCCCTGGAAGTTGCCAAACGACACCGTTGCGGTGGGTACGTCTCGTACGTAATTTGCACACGCCGAACGCGCATCTTCTAGAGGAAATCGATCTTCCCAGCTTGCAGGTGGTGTGCACTACATGGGCCAATTCAGGCTCAAGCTTATTGACCCGCCGAATGTGGCGAAAGCTAGCACACTCGCCTCAGCGCCTCGTAAATTCGTCCATCTTACCATAGTTACATTGTCTGTTCTAAAAAACGACTGCACATCGCAGAGGGTATCGCATATGCATTTTCAACGACTGCAGCCTGCGTCGTGACATGGGGTACACCTTGAAATTCATTCAGACTGTCAGTTGCACTAATACATCCTTGGCGTTTAGTGTTTTGTTGCTGTTGTCGTTGAGTGTTTGGTTGTTGTTGTCGTCGTCGTCGTCGCTGTTGCACTTCCATTTCTAAAGATGATGATTATTGATCCCCTCTGCCCGGTGTTTTTTTTTGTTATGCAATGAAAGTGCTCCTCCCGGGGCTCGTACCTTGTTGTTTACAAGGGGAAGTGTGGGGCCACCAAAATGTGTTGTTGGCCCCTGGTTTGCAACACCAGCGGCTCCCGCCTGATACTTCCTTACAATGTATTGAGAAATCGTGCTCTCGCGCGAGATATCCTCACAACTTACGCAGGAGTCGCGCTCTCGCATTGGACTTCTTCGCAACTCATTCAAACGCCGCGCCCTTGACGCACAGGAGTCGCGGTCTCGCTTTGGGTTTTCTCGCGATTTACTTGGGAATCGCGCTACTCGAGACTTCCTCGCGGTTCATGCAGTACTCACGCTTCAGCAACCCGCCTGCTCGATCTGCCCGCTTGGGCCCACCTTCCGACCTGCCCGCAAGGATATGCCCGCCCGATCAGCCCGTTTGGTTCGGCTACGTGTTTTCTGCTTCTAGCCCTCCTTCTGTTAATCCCGTGCTGCATCCATTTCCCTCGCCTTTCCATCCGTCCTCTCTTTCTTTGTTTCAGGGGCTGCACCACTTACGCGCGGCAGGTAAGGAAGATATACCCCCAAGGGGGAACGATCGACGACGAAGACGACGACGAGCAGAAAAGCGAACATTATCAAACTGTTTATTGTTGTCGTTGTTGTTGTGGTTGATGTTGTTGTTGATATTGTTGTTGTTGCTGTTGTTGTCGATGTTGTTGTAGCTGTTGTTGTTGCTGCTGTTGTTGCTGCTGCTGTTGTAGTTGTTGCAGTTGTGGTTGCTGTTGTTGTAGATGTTGTTGTAGCTGTTGTTGTAGCTGTTGTTGTTGTTGTTGTTGTTGTTGTTGTTGTTGTTGTTGTTGTTGCTGCTGCTGCTGCTGCTGTTGTTGTTGTTGTTGTTGTTGTTGTTGTTGTTGTTGTTGTTGTTGGTTGTTGTTGTTGTTGTTGTTGTTGTTGTTGTGTTGTTTGTTGTTGTTGTTGTTGTTGTTGTTGTTGTTGTTGTTGTTGTTGTTGCTGCTGCTGCTGCTGCTGTTGTTGTTGTTGTTGTTGTTGTTGTTGTTGTTGTTGTTGTTGGTTGTTGTTGTTGTTGTTGTTGTTGTGTTGTTGTTGTTGTTGTTGTTGTTGTTGTTGTTGTTGTTGTTGTTGTTGTTGTGGTTGTGGTTGTGGTTGTTGTTGTTGTTGTTGTTGTTGTTGTTGGTGTGGTTGTTGAGTGTTCATTACCAAACAATTATTATTGTTGGACACCTTAAAGGCGCCCTGGCGCTCTCGCCGAGGCGCCGGCTACATTTTCATTGAAAATGAGGCTCACGCTCGAGCGGTTTGGGGGACCGCCCAAACTGGCCTCCCAACAACAACAACAACGCTCCCGCTCGAGATTTCTTCCTTTTTTACTCAGGGCTGGTGTTCTTGCTCGCCGCCGAAAGCCGCCGTCCTAACAAAACAAGCGCTCCCGCTCGAGACTTCCTCCCGTTTTACCTTGGACTGGCGCGCTAGTCTTTCTCTCATCGGCGCCGCCCCCAGCAAAAACAACGCTCCCGCTCGAGGCTGCCTCCCTTTTTTTCTCAAGGCGGTGCTCCTCCTCGCCGCCGAAAACCGCCGCCCCGACAAAACCAGCGCTCCCGCCCGAGACTTCCTTCCGTTTTACGCTGGACTAGTGGTGCCCAACTCTTTTTGAATTGGCGCCGCTACCAGCAAGAATAACACTCCCGCTCGAGGCTTCCTCCCTTCTTCTTGAAGACGGTGCTGTTCCTCGCCGCCGACAACCCCCGTCCCGACAAAACCACGTATGGCAGAACGCACAGGAGCGCGGCTGATCACACAAAACACATAGAAGCAAGGCAGAACAACCAGCAGCACGGCAGAACACACAGGAGCACGGCAGAACAAACAGGAGCACGAGGAGCACGGCAGAACACACATAATGTATAGGAGCACGGCAAAACACACAGGAGCACGGCAGAACACGCAGGTGCACGGCAGGACACACAGGAACACAAAACATACAGGAACACGGCATAACACGCAGGAACACTGCAGAACACAGGAGCACGGCAGCGCACAGGAGCAGGAGGAGCACGGCAGAGCACGGCAGAACACGCAGGAGCACGGCAGAACACATAAGAGCACGGCAGAGCAGGACCATGGCAGAATATACAGGAGCACGGCAGAACACACAGGAGCACTGCAGAACACGCAGGAGCACGGCAGAACGCAGAGAACATTTTTCACACAGCCGCACCCGCAGGCACACGTATATAGGCACACGCACATAGGCACACGCACACGCACACGCACACACAGACACATACACACACGCACACGCACGCACACACAGAGATGCAATTTACGTTCACGCAGACCGCAGGAGCACGGCAGGGCAGCACGGCATAACACTGCAGTGCCGCAGACCACCACGCACGGACACGCATGCACAGATTCCACGCACGCACGCGCACGCGCAAACGCACGCACGCCACGACAGACTTGCGCAGCGCATACTAAGAACGTAGGATATCTCATAAGCCCAGGACACAACAGGACGCTTCCCGTTCTTGTCTGGTCAGGTTCTCGCAGCCTGATGGCCCACAAGGGGGCCGGTGGATTTTTGTTTTCGGGGCACTCGATTTTGAGATCTTTGCGGCGCCGATGTTTTTTGAGGGTTTCGGCATGCGTGCGCGACGACGCGCGCGTGTGCCCATCGTCCCGATTTTTGCAAGGGGTTCTCGAATGCTGATGATTTTTGATACACGCGTGCGCGCGTAGTACTCTTTTGCAGAGGATGAGGGGGGGCGATATTGGCCTGGCTGGCGTGGTCTGCGAATGCATATTTCGCATGGACGATGGGGCAGAATCGCATGTACATTGCAGTACGAAAAGGAATATTGTTAATTTCGGGCATGGGGGATCGGGGGGTTAGATCCTATTATTTTCAAGAATGGAGCATCTATGTCGTGCAATGTGTGTGTGTGTGATGTGACTTATGTTGTACACAGCGCAAACCAACGCGCCGCAAAACAGTGCGCATCAAGACGTGACCGTGCAAGCGCATGCGTGCAGTGCAGAGCAGCGCAAACGAATGCTGAGCGGTGCAGAGCAGCGCGAAGCCGTGCACATATGGTGAACTCTGGCGGTGGCGACGAGCGGCGACGGCGGCGACGGGGCGGCGACGGTGATGACATCGTCGCCAGACCGACAGCGCAGGTCCAGCTCAGAGGGCGGCGACGAGGCGGCGACGGGGCGCCGGCGGCGCCAAGCTGGCCGCCAGACCGACCGGCAGGCCCCAGCGACGGGGCGGCGACGGCGCGGCGACGGGGCGGCGACGGCGACAGCACCGCCGCCAGGCCGACAGACCGGCCAGGTCCTCGTGGCATGAGTTAGAGGCCCGAGGTGCAAGCCTTGCTTCCTGGGATCTCACAGGGATTCGTATTGAGAGCTCCATGGGACCCGAAGGCACTCCAGCTCGCGGCCCAGGGCACGGTGGCGCAATTTTTTTTAGCAATTTCATGTGGCTGTGGCCGTGGATGCGCAATTCAAAACTAAGACGGCTCCCGACGTGCAGGTCCAAGGCGCGCTGATGTTTCCAGCGGGCGCCCGCCGAAGTGGAACGAATCGGTAGAGAAAGGGGGTACTTTGGACGGCATGTTGCACTGCAGCACCGGTGGTGCTTGCTAGGGTCAGTCATGTCCTGCTCCCTCCTCGCCCCGCCTCTCATTTCCGAGACTTCCGAGTACCTCTGTACCTCGGCGAAAACGCTGCTCCTCCCCTCTCCCCTCCTCCCCCTCCTCGTCTCCCCCTCCTCACTCCAGCTCTCCGACATTGGTAAATTGGTGTGTGTGTGTGTTTGTGTGTGTGTGTGTGTGTGTGTGTCGCCTGAGGGTCTCTAGTCCCTGGCGTACGTGTTGCTGGCTTCTTGTGCTGTTCCACGCTTCAGGAAGCGATCCCTCGCTCTCCTTTCGCCCGTCGGCGGGGGACTCAGGTCTGGCAGGCCCCTTTACCAGCCCTGCACACCCCCGACGGTAGTCCCCTGGCTGGAACTCTTTCGTGGACGCTCCGTAGTCCCCAGTCCGTAGCCCCCCTCTCCCCCGCTTTCCTCCAATGTCCGTGGACCTCCCCGTCTGGAGCCTCTCGAGGCTCCCGAGACGTGCCGGCCGCGGCCCTCCGCTCTTCCCGCCGCAGGCCGCCGCTGTTCGCCGTCGGTCCGGCATCCGCGCGAAGCCCCCCCCCGAGCGTGCGAGGGCCGCCCGTCGCCGCGCTGGCGCGGGAGGACCGCCGTGCGCCTGTCCCTCTGTCTGCTGCACGCGCGATCCCAAGGCTCTGGGCCTCCTGCAGCGAGAAATCAGAGCTTCCCCACCCTCCCCCTCCCCTCCCGCTGCTCCCCCTTGCCCCCCCCCCCCCCCCCCCCCCCCCCCCCCCCCCCCTCCCCCCTCCCCCTCCCCCTCCCCCTCCCCCCCCCCCCTCCCCCCCTCCCCCTCCCCTCCCCCTCCCCCTCCCCTCCCCCCCCTCCCCCTCCCCCTCCCCCTCCCCTCCCCTCCCCTCCCTCGCCCCCCTCCCCTCCCCCCCTCCCCCTCCCCCTCCCCGCGCTCGGCGGCTCCCAGTGCAGCCGCCCGGGCCGCTCGGGGGAAGCCACTTCGCGCAGCCGCCGCAGCCGCAGGCGAGCTAGCCGCGCCCGGAAAGGGCCGTCGTCGGCGTCGTCGGCGGCGGCGACGTCGGCAGCAACGTCGTCCTCGTCTTCCTCTCTGTTCTCTCCCTCCTCTCCCTTTTTCCCCCAGAGTCCATGTCCTGTCGTGTCCTGTATCGACGCCTGTCAAGTCTTGTCCCACTTAGCACCCCCGGCATCTCTGCCTCTCTCTTCCCTCCCGCTCCTCACGCTCCTCCCCCCTCCTCCGTTTCTCCTTCCTCCTGCCTCCCCGCGCTGCCTCGTGGCGGACCCAGCAAGCCGGCACTGCGGGCTGACGCGTCCCCGCGCCCGTTGGCGCGCCTATTACGCAGTCGGCGGGTCGGCGGATCCCGCCCACTGGGCTCTCCCCGCTGTGCACGCCGCTGCGTGACAGGCGGTGTAGCCAGCGACGTCCGCCCCGAGGCTCTCGCAGGGCTCGCGGCTCGCCGCGCCCGCCCCGTGCCCGTCGGGATGCGCGGCTGCCTCGTCGGCCGCGCAGGCCGGCTTTGCCATTTCGCGTGGTGCTTCTTGGCAATTCGGTTCGCTCTGACCACGCCGTTGCTGCGAACTCTTGACGCTTCGCGTGTGCCCACCAGCCCCACTTTTGGCTGCGCCGAGCCCAGTTCCGCTCTGAGCCGGGCGCTGCTCGCTTCGTTGTTTTTTCCTTTGCTTCGGCGCGGCCCGCCCTAGCTTGCACGGCGTTCGACTCGTCTCCGCGCGCCCTCGTACCAAAAGGTGTCCCCACCAGCCCATCCAACAACATACACCAGGCGAGTTACTTTGATCATAGAGCGAGGACAGGCAACCACTCGACTAAAGCAGCCACAGGCTCCCTGTGCGTTTGGTGGGTGGCCTCCGCGTCATTGCGTGCGTTTCGCGGCCCCTCGTGGTAGCCCTAGGTGAGTGGTTGCTTGTCGTCGCCTGCGGGTCTTCTGCTCATGGTGCCTCTTGGATGCCTCTTGGAGCCATGATGGAGCTGGAGCCATCATGAAAACTTTGGGGGCCTCTTGAGGCTCTCTTGCGGCCCTCTTGGGCCTCTCGTGGGGCCCTCTTGGAGGCCCTCTTGAAACCATCTTGGAAGCCATCGATCAAAGAAAAGAGGGTATTCAAGTAGGCTCCCCCGTCTGGGCCCGAAAATTGGCCTCTTGGGGCCGGCCGTCTTGGGGTGCTCTTAGGGTGCTCGTGGGTGCTCTTGTGGCCGTCTTGGGGCCATTCTGGGCCCTTCTGGGGGCCCTCTTGGGCCATTTTGGAGCCATTTTGAGGCCACTTGGGGCCAAAAAGAACCCGCTCACACCTCGCGGGGCGTCTTCGGGGAGGGGGACCCTCCTCCCCGAAGCCCAAACGAGAAGAAGGTGGTTGGCAGAACGAGCTCCCAGGACCACTCAAGCCCTACAGGGCTGGCGGGATGACACAGCCCGCGCAGGGGTCCGCGTGCCCCGTGCCCGCGTGGGGGTCCTGCCCCGTGCCCGCGTAGGGGTCCGCGGCGCCACGCGCCGTCGCCTCGGGCGGTTATGGCTCAGCCCCGTGCCCGCTCTGGGGTCTGGCGCACACCTTCGCACTCCGCACCCACGCCTTCGCCGCTCGGTGGCGCCTTGCGTCCCCGGCGTCCTGCATCCGCTTGCCGCTGCGCTCGGGGGGCAGCCCCCCCCCCCCCCAGGCCCAGCTTGCTACGCGCAGTGGCCGCCTGCTGGCCCGTCGTGCAGTGATAAACTGCGTCACCGCCGCGATGTGCGCCGTGGTGCCGAGAATGGCCCTGGGGTGCGGCTGGGTTTGTCAGGAGGGAAAGAAACACACAGACACAATGAATCGTCGATTCCCCAGAAAAATAGGCAAGCATATGGGAATTGGGGGGGAAGACGAAAACCCAGAAAATATTGGGAAAATATGGGGGCTCTCTTTATTTGTGTGTATCTATTTGTGTGTTCCAGGGCCCCTTCATTGTTTCGCAGCGTAGCGCGGTGCTGCGGACCGCTCTCGCCCCGCCGTGCCACGGTGGGCGGAGCCCCGTGCTCACCATCCGCTGCTGCGCGCGCCCCGTGCGTGGCTCGAACGGCCGCGTGAAAAAGCATGGGTTCTGAGAGCCCCAGCTGCCCAGACGGACGCGACACCGTCAGGTCCACGCGGCTTCCTCCCTCTTCTTCCTCTTCCTCATCCCCTTCCCTTTTCCCTCGCGCTTCCTCCCTCCTCTCTCTTCTCGTCCCCCCCTCCCCCTCCTCCCTTCTCCTCCGTCCTTCTTCGTCCCTCTCCTCCGTTCTCCCTTTTTTTCCATTTGCTCAGCATTCATGCTACTCTCCTCTCTCCCTGGATCCAGGCTGAGCCGGGCTGATTGTCTCCAGCATGTTGGTGTTCAACGCAGATGATGTCAACTTTGCTTCTTTGTCTATCGGAGCGCTTGTGTTTTTCAAGAGGCAGTTCTCGCTGCAGCGTTGGCCTCATTTCGGGATCGGCGTTTTACTCCCGCCTTTCAGATTGGGGCTCTCGCCCGCGGGCCTGATTTCTGGGTCGGAGTCCATTTCTCCTCGTTGTCGCCCCCTTTTCCTCCTCAGCCTTCCCCTGGTCCTCCAGCTCCTTCCACCCTTCCTACTCTTGCTCCTGATGTTGCGGCCGCTCCTCCTCGTCCTCCTGCTCCGTCCTCGTCCTGCTCATCCGCCACCTTCTTCTCTTCCACCTCTTCCGATGTACACAGGTCTCCTTGTCTTCCCCTTCATGGCTTGGTTCAATGCCCACCAGTAGAAAAGCGTAGAAGATAAGTTGGCGATGGACACTGGGACCTCGACGACGAAGTTTATGATCAGTTCGATCGTGAGGATGAGGATGACGGTGAGGATGTGCAGCATGAGCGGGGATAATGTCAGCAGTACGACGAAGATGATGGTAATGACGGGGACAGATAATTTGCAAACACAGCCACAGCAAGGGGAGGATAAGGAGAATAAGGAGGACGGAAAGAGCGTGTTCTACCGCTGCTGGCGGAAAACCAGGGGGGGTGGTCACTGGGGGTTCCCAACCCCCCCCCCCCTGGAAACAGGGGGGGGTCACTACCGGTTCGACCCCCCCCCCCCAAGTCCATCATGAAACGGGGGGGGGGGGGAGGGGGCTCCCGCCTGAGATTTCCTTGCAATTCACTCACAGACGAGGCCCCCGCCTGATACTCCTTTTATTGCGAAGGCCTGACGGCCGGTGCCGCCGACCCTGTTCGCAATGCGCAGCAAGAGATTACGAGGTTGCTCAAGGTCGGCTTGGCTGGAGCCCAGGGGAAGAGGAGTCCCAGGGGGGGGCGTCGTATCTGACCCGGGGGGGGGGTCGCTACCCCCCCCCCCTCCCGGCGGGGGAGGGATCAAAGGGAAGGGGCTTCCCTTCGACTCAATTACGAGGTTGCTCAAGGTCGGCTTGGCTGGAGCCCAGGGGAAGAGGAGTCCCAGGGGGGGGCGTCGTATCTGACCCGGGGGGGGGGTCGACACCCCCCCCCCCTCCCGGCGGGGGAGGGATCAAAGGGAAGGGGCTTCCCTTCGACTCAATTACGAGGTTGCTCAAGGTCGGCTTGGCTGGAGCCCAGGGGATCCCAGGGGGGGGCGTCGTATCTGACCCGGGGGGGGGTCGAAGGATCAAAGGGAAGGGGCTTCCCTTCGACTCAATTACGAGGTTGCTCAAGGTCGGCTTGGCTGGAGCCCAGGGGAAGAGGAGTCCCAGGGGGGGGCGTCGTATCTGACCCGGGGGGGGGGTCGACCCCCCCCCCCCCTCCCGGCGGGGGAGGGATCAAAGGGAAGGGGCTTCCCTTCGACTCAATTACGAGGTTGCTCAAGGTCGGCTTGGCTGGAGCCCAGGGGAAGAGGAGTCCCAGGGGGGGGCGTCGTATCTGACCGGGGGGGGGGTCGACACCCCCCCCCCCTCCCCGGGGAGGGATCAAAGGGAAGGGGCTTCCCTTCGACTCAATTACGAGGTTGCTCAAGGTCGGCTTGGCTGGAGCCCAGGGGAAGAGGAGTCCCAGGGGGGGCGTCGTATCTGACCCGGGGGGGGGGTCGACACCCCCCCCCCCCTCCCGGCGGGGGAGGGATCAAAGGGAAGGGGCTTCCCTTCGACTCAATTACGAGGTTGCTCAAGGTCGGCTTGGCTGGAGCCCAGGGGTTGCTCAAGGTCGGCTTGGCTGGAGCCCAGGGGAAGAGGAGTCCCAGGGGGGGGCGTCGTATCTGACCCGGGGAGGGATCAAAGGGAAGGGGCTTCCCTTCGACTCAATTACGAGGTTGCTCAAGGTCGGCTTGGCTGGAGCCCAGGGGAAGAGGAGTCCCAGGGGGGGGGCGTCGTATCTGACCCGGGGGGGGGGTCGACCCCCCCCCCCCCCTCCCGGCGGGGGAGGGATCAAAGGGAAGGGGCTTCCCTTCGACTCAATTACGAGGTTGCTCAAGGTCGGCTTGGCTGGAGCCCAGGGGAAGAGGAGTCCC